TCCCTCCCACTGCGATAAACATAAATGGGAGTTTTAGGTTGTATAAAAGCATGGAAAGTGTATTACCAAGCGGCTAACAGATGGAAGGCATACAGCCTATCGTATGGCAAAAAAACAGTTTTGATGCAGAGAAGCATACATACAGATAACGAACTCATCATTAAACTTCCCTCTTCATTTCCCTACCCACCGCTTCAGTTTCCTTTCCCTCATGGGTAAACGTCTTGACTTGTTAAGTCGGATGGCGTTGTATGCATTAAGTTTCACAGTGACATAAAGGTGTTTTACGTTTGGCCCTGCCTGATTGCTTCTTCTACATTCTTGCATCTAGTGCTGTACTAGTTTGTACGCTTGGTTGAACACTGCCACTTCACTCGTAACATCAAGCTACAATGCAAAGATTACAACAAATTTCCCGTGGACGATAACTTTAAACTAATCGTCACTAAAAATTTATCACGAACGGGAACAGGAAGGAGTCAGACTTACTAAATATGTGGTTTTCAGGAATGGTGAAGATCGTAGACAAAGATTACTGGCCGTCAACTAGACGTCTTCTGACAAAGTTATTACATTTTGACTCTGGAACTGGGAAATGCAGATATTTGATCGGCAGCCATAATATGTAGCAACATTATCACCCATTGGTGTGAGGTGCGGGAGCGGATGAAGTCCAAATGTTTGCGCTCGTTAGGAAACGGAGATGAAAGAGCAACATGCTTGTAATCATCCACTAGCATTTCTTCTTTACTCACAGGCGAAACATAACAAACGTAACAATATTTGTATGCACAGTACCCTCTGCTGCTACCAACCGTAGGAGCAACTAAGATTATGCGAAGCACCTCCAAGTGTATCTAAGGAAACAAGATAGGATAATGAAGCTACGTCCCCCCTCTTCCTGTCTTGCTCTCCAAGTTATAATTCTGAGAGACCTGGCTGTTTTCAGATATATGCGAGACTGAAGAGAATAAGGGTGGTGTGTCTGTGTCTAGCTGAGACAACTAAGGCAAGGTAAGAGGTGAAGTGTCAGCGTTTAAGAGTGGCCACTCCAATACTGATCCAGATACTTCGGTTTTTTGGCCTTTCCTGGTCTACTAGGTCCACTAACAGTTTCTAACCGCGAAGACGGCTTTCAGTTAGCTACACGTGCATGGAAACGGCGCACGCAGTAGGCCATGCATGATAATCAATGGAGAAGCGTTAAAATGCTAGTGATCTACCTTCACTTCATCAGCAGGGACGCTAGCGAGTGCCGAAACTGCCAGGGCCGACCATATCTCACAACTGTCACTCATTCATAGCATGCAACTCTTTATTATTTGCCCTTTGTCATCAGTACTTACATCTAAGTACTCTGCACCAACATAGTTTCGGCAGACCCGATATGATAATACTCAACAGGCAACACCATGATCATCCCCCTCGTGACCAGATAAAGGGTAGTGGTCCGAAGAACAAAAAAAACCACGAATTTCACCTAAATGTTTATAACTTCATCATACGCTTGTACATAGGTATATAACAAGTTAATACCTGGTCAAATATCCTCTAATCTTTCTATTTCGTAGTGATATCTTCAGCTTCAGACTGACTTTCATTACTGTCGTGCGCACCTTCATCTTCTTCCACCTAAGCTTACCTCTAAACAGTTGGTTCTGGACACTTCCTCAAGTAAGTTTAATAGTCAGTACAAACTCACCCAGATGTATCATGGTCGATCTACTCCTGCGTATTTTTGTGCCCCTGTTACAAATTTCGCCTGCTGCTCGCTTTTGTTATTCACTTTTCAGATTTACTTAACCAGTCCTGCGTTCAAATGGAATCCTACAAATCGCATTCATCAGCGGGAAATATTGGCATCAAAACCTGATGACGAACGCGCACACCCCAAGGTCATGAATGTGATGCGGCCTCACCTTCAAGAATATTGGATGATTCAAACGATGACCGGATAATCTTCAAATTCGAACTGAGCCTGCTTCAACATGCCTCCTATATGCCATAAATCACAGCATCTAATGTACAGCATAACATTGTACATAATAGTCATCTGTCATTACCAAAGTGATCAAACCTGTAAACTGGTTTGTATTCATGTAACCTTTGTTGCATGAAATATATTATTATTATTATTATTATTATCATTACCACCTCTCGTTTCACTATTGTCAAACGTTAGCACTCAAGCATTTCAGCCTTCACTAACTTTGCGGTTACCGGACGGTTAACTGGATTGAGGAGTTATTCGAAAGCAGCAAACAGAAAAACGCAAGAAGGGGGGTGGAGTGGCAGTGTCTGCGGGGCAGTCATTTCAGGAACGAACGAGCTAACAAAACTGTACTCACAGAGCCTCAAAACCCAGTACGGTGTTATTTATGGCCATGACACCAGGCATTTGGTGACGGGAGTCTGTCGTCCTCTACCACCACTATGGAACGGAGTCAAAGCCCACCTCACTCAATGCCTTCGGTGACGACCATGAGGTACGACCAAACTATTAAATCTAGGAGCTTTGACGCCTCGCCTACCAACTAAGGGCAGGACAGCGCAAGGTCAGGTCGAACACTAGATTGAAGCCTGCCAAACTGTGTCAAAGAGGCCAGACTGTGGGAAAACATCGAAGGTGACCCTCAAAGGGGTCTAGCATAATGTCATTAAGACTAAACCATCTTCTAACTTGCGTCCATACGCTAGTAGAAATGAGGGCTCCCGAGAAAAGAGTCAGATCATGGTATACGCATGGCTCTGAGAAAGTGATGAAAAATCAAGGAGCGAGAAGATAAAAGGCTCTCTGAGACGGGCATTGGCCAACAGACTACGGCAAACGCGAAGAACCTTCATCGACACTTGATGAAGGGAAAATCTGCTGATCAGAGAGCATCCCAGTCGTAGAAAACCCCCTTGACCGCCGGCGAACCCAGCGCCAGCCCTTGTCTGCAGCCATACACCCCATTATCAATCTAAACTTGCAAACGGTTGGACAGCCTTCCACATTATCTAGAGTAGGAGTTGATTACAGTGGACTGTAGGAGAATTCTACAACGGATCTCATAGGTACTGTGCCGGCTGGAGGACAAATTAGACGTTAGGAAGTTCTGCGCGAAGCCAACAGGTTCACTTACCTTAAAAAGTACCATCGTCCAGGGTCTCACATGAGTCTTTTTCTGTTCCCACTTTCAGTGGCTGACTTCAATGGAGACTCACCTCGCGATTCTACTTTGCGGCGATGACGTTAAGTTATCCAGAGTGGTGGAAACCAAAGGGGAACTGGCAACACTGCATGTTACCTCAGATTGCTAGGACGGCGAGTAAATAACAACCTGGATAAATCCTAAGCCATTTTTCCCCGCACTCCTGACTTCTAGAAAGTATCCTACTCTTTCCGTGTTACACACCCTTCTCGCACAAGCGCGCGGAAAGACCTGGTACTAATACTGATCAACGGACCAGACGCCGGTTTCGATCATCTGGGAGCTACCTTCAGGGACCACACAGTATCATGCTTCACGAGCAGACGATTCAATGCCTTCACAACAGAGCTCCCTATGAAGCTCTGAAAGACACGACCCCGTTTGGAGGTCCATAACGTCTTCGCTACACTAAATCTGAAAAAAAGCACGAACCCCTGGAGACAGTTCGAAGGCGGATCACTAAGAATATTGTAGGGACGCACCAAAAACAGTGCGAGGATGGACCAAAGGACCTGGGCCCATACCCTCTTAGCTACACAAGTTTAAGAGCTGGTGCGATAATGGCCTGCAAAATGCCAGATAGCCTAAGCCATCCGATCAGTTATTGTGACAGTCATCGTGGAAACCTCAAGAGAATCGCCCGGCGACGAGCGAAAATTTGGATGCGCTTATACTCTTCCAACCTCCTAGTCAGGGGACACCGGAGTTCACTATCACAAGGTGTAGACTTAATCAAAACTGTCTATAGTTTCAAGAAAAGACTGGACAGTTAGGCATTGCGCCGTGGTTTACGTACATTTAGTTGGAAAACGAACTCGACCAAAGAAATCAACTGCTGTCACACTATTCCTACACTGTTATCTCTCCACCAGCTCCCTTCTTACTCTAATCACTTGACCCCTTTCCATCCCAATTACTTGCTGTTATCTAACATCGCTCACCTAAGCCCTGCACATCTTTGTACGCCTATCGTCTTACTTGTGCGTGCGTTGTTAAATCCATCAGTTTGTAGGGGTGCGTGTTACAATTCCGTAACGTCTGATCAACCCTACTTAACTTGATGTGCTCTAGTACCTGCTTAACCAGTGCTTTACTTAACGTGTAAGTACTGATAACAAAACACAAACCAAAAGAACCGACACGCAATGTATTTGAGGGAGCTACGTATTTAATTAAAGTAAATGTAATAATAATGAGTGGGGAAAAGTTTAGTCAACTTATCTGGCTTGTAAGGCTGAACTAGGGGCTCGGAGTACGTGCGTGGTAATCAGCACAATGGAGCGCAAAAATGGCGTCCAAGCCTGCTCTGATGCATGCTCGTTAAAGGAAAACTTAAAACACCCTAGGCATCCGGAGGCAAGCTAGAGATTTATTTGGTTAATTCAATTTAAACTATTTATTTTAGCCCTAGTCATATTTTGGTGTCAGGAAGGTGCATTACAAGTTTACTTTTCTTTGTCTTTTACTCAAACAAATTTATCATCCTACATTACCCCTTCACCATCCCTGACTGTGTCCTATGACCAGTTCGAAGAGCTATCTGGCAGCTCAATATCTGAAGAAAGGAACTGTACTGCAGCCCCGGGCAAACTAACCAACACCCAGCCACCTGTGGGTATACCAGAGCGACATTAGATGAATGACTGGATCTATTGCATGGGATGCACCGAAGAACCTTAACCGTTCCACAAGACTTAGAAGTGAACACAAAAAATCAACTAGTTTATACAAGCACGTTGAATAGGTATTGGATTTTGGAAACAGGATTGTTTGGTTGCATATCAGCAGGTTAACTCTCTTAAGGTTGTTTGTGGTAGGCGTTAGACTCCCTATTTAGTTGTTCGTGGATTTCAAGTTAGTAGTTTTTGAAGTTAAGTTCCAGTTCATTGACTATAAGGACATATAAAAATGTAAGCAATAGAACACTATGAAAATTCTCGTTCCCTTATCCTCAAAATCCCTTGGCTTAAGACTTGAACGTATTCTATGCTATAGATAATACAGAATTCCGAGCTAAACAAATTGACAGCAGTTCCGGATCACCAAGCTTAAGAAATTTAGAGGATTCATTTTTTTAGGGAAAGGAAGTCTGAGTCAAAGGTGTGTTAAAGACAGAGTATGTTGCAAGGTTTGGTATTCCTAAACTCCTTTTTAGTTATTTTGAGAACACTAGAATTTCCTATGTTCTATCAATCTTCCACACTAGTATTACTATCTAGATAATTGTGAGCAAGTATTGCCGTGAATAATCGTTTTTACTGTAGTCAGTCAACATAATTTCAACCTATTATTTCACAATATTTATCTCCTCATGACTTATCCCAAGAAAGTGTTCAGTTGGTTATTTCCGGACAAGAACCTTTCCTATATCCCCATAACTTTTCAATTTACGAATCATAACAATTTAAGTATAAAAACAATGAGTGTTTCTATCTTGAATTGCTTCATTCTGTTAACTAGCGTCACTCACCATAATGCGTAAAAGTAGAATAATACGTTTCCCTTGACGATCACCTTAGTGCCACCAGAGTCGGGCTTCAATCGAAATCTTAAAATGCTAGGCTGTATGAGAAAATTTTGTTCTGGGGTTCATTTTAAACTGAAAGAAAGTTCTCACGTTTTTGTTAAAAAATGGCAAGAAATAGGCTGCTTCATATTTGACGAAGCGGTATTTATTTAGTAGTTAATTGTCTTGTATTGCATTAACCATAACTGACTTGTAGAATATTTTGCTTTGCTGGCTTGAAATCTGAAATGATCCACATTAATTCTTTCTCAGCAAGCTTTTAAATGCTTATGCATTTACAGATATCAAGCGGGTTTTCGTTTGTCAGATGTTTGTACATTTGTACCATAATATTCTCCCCAAGTAGTACGTTTCTCAAATACATACTGGTGGCTAAATGTTTTACATTCCTTTTTAACTATATTAATTAATTAATTATTTAATTTGAATCTTATGCAACTGTTGTAGATCTAAGTAGTCATAAGATACCTTAAGTGAAATTGTTGTCTTGCAACAACGTCTGTCATGGAGTCTGACGAACGGAGGATATTATTCACAACCACAACAAAATCTTAAACTTATGTCATGCTAAAGGTTTTGCTGAATGCGGCCTATCCCTGTCCACCAACCATACTGCCTTACCACTGTTAGCTTAAAGGAATTGAAAGTGACAGTTTTGAATTACTGCTTTAACACACGTCATCGAGAATCAAAAATACGGTATTGGTGACAATTGAGTTCAAACGCTGGAAATGCCAGGTTTTGAGTCATGAAAATTGTTATTCACACTCATTTTTTACCGAAATGATTAAAGAATATCTCATTTAAGATATAGAATCGAAGTAGTAAAATAAGAATATATTGGTTATAAGGATCAATGATTGCATTTGATTCATCTTGTTTCACTGGCGATCCTTAACCAACAGTTTTCATTTTCATGAACACATTCCTCAGATAGTTTACATTTTCCCAATAGGACTTAGATTAAATCACAGAAAGTCCTCTTTCATTACACCAGTGCCGCTCCCTTTGCTGCATCTAGGGATACTGCTTATTTATTTTAGTAAAATTCTTATGAGTTTTTAATGGTTAGGAATGATAACCTGGGCTTATTTATATACTAAGTAGTACTGTGGCACAGCATTATGCTTATTACTAAAACTAGTGGAGGAAAATGTTTTATCCAAATTCCCAAGTCCTATCCCAAATGTCGATTCAATTTTCATCATGTATTGAATGGAAATATGTCCAAGATGCTTACAAAACTCTATTCTTATCACATCACCTTTAGTTTTCCCTTTTACGCCAGGATAAAATAATTCAGGACATTTAAATGAACTTTTTCGACCGATAATCACCTTCAGTCAGCCAAAGTAACCCCTTTTTAGGAATTCGACTGATTTCTATTCTGTTCCAGTGAGAATTATCAACCATTTCATTTCCTTGTGCTTAGAATCATGAACGGTTGTTGGAAGCGACCGGATTTGCCGAGCAAGTGTACATTTTCTTTACAGAAGCCAATATCTGAAAGCCCCCATCGGCATGTATCAGTGTAAGCAGTTTTAAGCTACTCAGTGTAAATTTAGCCCAAAACGATCCAAAGTAATCAGTAATGTTTTGGAGCTGATCGGTGATACACCCTTGATTCGACTTGATCGGATTGCAAAATGCGAAGGCATAGAATGTGAACTATGTGAGTACATTTAAGAAAATAATACAAAACGTTTTACTGAACGGATTCATAGTGGCCAAATGTGAATTTCTCAATATTGGAGGTAGTGTTAAGGATAGAATCGCAAAACGTATGGTTGCAGAGGCCGAAGAGGAAGGAAGACTTAAGCCCGGGGATACAATTATTGAACCTACTTCAGGAAATACTGGTACGTCACTTTTCTGTTATTAGTTGAAAAATAATGTCCACAGAATTTTCAACACATTCCTTTTCTGGTAGCATATTATACATATTTTAAGCAAGCCACAGCAAATATTCGGAATGAATTGAATGCAGAGGTATGTTTTGTAATGATTTGCGGTTTGCGACATTATTGAGAGTCAAGATTCCATTCAGAATCATATTCAAGAGGTATCTACCGGTTTCAGTCCATCTGACCTAAGAATTTGGCGATGTACCATGGTTTACTTTTGCATCTATCTACCAGCATCTTTTGTGTATGAATATCTTAGCATCCAGAAGTAGGAAGTTTTTCTACCCTATGCTTCAACCATCTGGTAAATTTTGGAAAGCCAACTTTTGTATTGAAAAGGAGGTAGTTGATTATTGAAAATGTAAAATATTCATCCCTGAAACCAAAATTAATTAGATTAACATTATTTGCAATGAAACTGTTAAGCTAGATTTTAGTAAAAGGAGGTAGAAAAAGTTATATTTCTAGTTGTTATTTGCTTAAAGAAGGGCCTTTCATTTCAGTTATGTGGTAGTAGCGTCTTTAATCGGCGAAGGATGAATCAATACCTATGTACAGTGAGCCGCGTCTACTACGTAACTCCTGGCCTCTTCAATTTTAGTAGGGAGAAGGTGGTTCAAAACAGCTACTGTATTTATTGGAGATCGATTGCTTAATAAGATGAGCCACAGTTATGAAAATATATGTGGAAACCGTGCGTTGTAAGCTAGAATTATCTTGCAGATTCTCTACAAGGTTAGGCAGTTTGCATACATGAGGTGATGACTATATGATCTGCTCCACACTAAATTTGGCACCAAGATTACGAACATGAAAGCCTTGCTAAATATACTGCTGGCCAACATAAGTAGTCCTAAAAGCCATGGTGAGTTTTCTTACCACAGAATGTGTATTTTGAAAACACCTGGTTCAAATAGCAAATCTACTGGTTCTCAAATGTAAAACGCTTCACATAATCATTTATAATGACCTTACTTCAGAAATAAATGGATAGTTACTTTGTATTCTGAGCACCGGTTATTCAAGATGCTGGTCAGTTAGTGTCACTGCTAGGATTTAACTGATGAATATATTTAATGTCTATTCATGTTTCGAGATTTGATCAGTGTTTGTAAGCCAAACTGCCAAACTGAGTGAAATGACTAAAACATTTAATTGACTCACATGCTGTAAAACTGTAAAGCAGTTTTTTGAGCCAGTCTTTCAATAACTTTTTAATAATTAGAATGTACACTGAGCATTCTACAGTTTAGGTTTAGGATTATTAAAAGACTGTATTATCACAGCATCCTTACTAAGAAAAACTATTTTCATGTTTTGCAAGTCACTTGTATGTTTGTCGGGAGATCAGTGTCCAAGAAGTAGTTATGGAGCAGACGTTAAAGGGAACAAGAATCATCTTTCAGTTATTTCACATTTTGTTTATCTAAGGTTATCAGTTATGCAGTACAATGTTTTGTGCACTAAGCATTCCCTTTCACCTTATTTGCTTGAGTTACACAGGATTTTATTACTACTAGCTTTTTGTGAAAAATCATTTACAGGATCAAGTCCCTATCAAAAATGTGACAAAATGAATTGTTTTTCAGTTCAATTGTTGTGTTGTATTTTACTTAGAAGAGCAATTAAGTAGCACGCATATATTCGTTTTCATGTACTGATGAGTTTTTAGGTACCCCAACAATTGATTTTTTAACACTAAAACACTATGTTCATCTGACTATACACCCAGTGCATGGTACGAATTGAAGAACGTTTTCATGGCTTTATCATTATTTATTTGGTATCTGTACGTAGTCACTTCTCCAGACCAAGTCTACCGTTAGCTTTTTCTAATTTAATTATTTTTTTTATGCTCGTTTGGTGCCCATCGATCTTTGATGTTTGTTATAACGCTTAGGTATCCAGCCAACTATTCAGGGTGGGATATACAGTAGAGTATTTCATCCTAATTATAAAATGCCGAATATATTCACTGTGTAAACAGAACGTGAGAAGCATTTCAATACTCATTCTTACTGCCCCTTCTGATACTGGTTTAACTTAGTTAGGTCGTCTCTCTCCTTTATATCTTTCACTTCACTTTACTGTCACTTTCCCTTCCACACAGTATTTGGAAATAAGACTGTTTAGTCCATTCATCTGTTTTGCTTGTTCTAGTTTTCCCCAGTCTTCGCGTAAATGTTTAGCGGTTGTATTATTCAACTAACTTTTACTGTTTCTATCATCTTTCTCCATCTAACTATTCTCTCGCTCATTTTGTCTGTTCTAACACAGTTTATTTACTTTCCTATTTCGTTTTTGTGCACTATTGTGAAACGAATCAGTCTGACTCACTGCAGCTTTGTGTCACTTCCCACGTTGAATTGTCTCGGTGTCTGCGACGATAACAGTCTCTGTGTATGTTTTATTTAAAAATTTACACAGATTATGATAACTGAACATCATACAGCTACTACTTAAAAGAACCTTTTACATATATTGCCATTATCCATAGATGCTTGCATTAGTTATCCGTGTTGTCCTACAATTTTTCTTTGGAACAGGTATTGGGTTGGCCCTTGTAGCTGCTACTAGAGGCTATAGATGTATTATAGTCATGTCAGAAAAGATGAGCCGTGAGAAGGTAAGTAGTATTCGTGTTTACTTTGTTCAATTCTTTTCTACATTACTGCTTTTTGCTGTCATACTCGAAGTCATGATCGCCTTTACCAGGGTGATGCTTTATTTATGACGTGGTTATACACTGTTATGTATGTTGGAATGGACAAGAATAAGATAAGATTTCCTAACTTATTTTTTTAAGGTAGGCTTTTTTCTCATTTTTGAATCTAAACATTTTCACATACGGCATGCTAAATCTAACTCAAATATCTTACTGAGAAGTTGAAACATCTGTTCACAAGATTCACAAGGAAAGTGAGAATTATAACGTCTCAGAAGACACAATCCATTAATTGTAGAACCGAGCTTTTTCTACCTAGCTATTCACAGTAACCTATTACCAGTGTTTAAGAACAATGGGAACCATATTGATATTAGCTCTAGCGATGGAGTCAAACTTTTGCAATTTTAATCATTTTAATTCTTCTTAGATTGCGCGGTAACCTCTAACGGCTTAGTAAATTTCTAATACGAATGGCTATCGTTAGGCGTTTAAGTTTGACTTCCACTTTACTTTGAAATAGTTTTGTTGTGAAGTATCTACCAGCTCACTTTGCTGTTACCAAAATTTTCATTTTTGATCTTAAATAGGCCAAATACCAGAATACTACTTTCAGTATTCATTGAATAGCTACATAATAATTCTGTTGTTGAACTGTTTCCACAAGCATTTTAGTGTGACCAGTGGTATAAAAATTATTTTTTATTTTGTTTCATAAGGAATCCTATTTACAAGGTTTGGGTGCGGAAATAGTGCGTACACCAGCCTCAGCAAATTTCGATGATCCTGATTCTCTGTTTTTGGTATCAGAAAATATAAAGAGAGAAATCGGTCCTACTGCACATATAATGAATCAGTATACAAATCCATATAACCCTATAGCTCATTTTGATGAAACTGCTGAAGAAATTATTCGTGATTGTACAGAAGAAAATGGTCAAATCAAATTAGATATGTTGGTGGCTGGGGCTGGTACTTGCGGCACAATAACCGGACTGTCACGGAAAATAAAAATGAAAGTACCTAATTGTCTAGTAAGTTATTCCATAACAGACTGTTGTTCATCCACATACGTGGATGGGTGTGAGTTATTCATGTGAGGATCGTGTTGGGTACAAATTCACTCACTATATACTGGTTGACGAAAGTAGGCAGCAAGCCACGCCTATATTTGTTGACGTATAGCTCTCCAAACTCAAACAAGTGAAGCGGTTTCCAACTTGTAACCCATCGATAGAAAACTAAGTGTCTAAATCAATGGATCACCTGTCTGTTATTGGTCATTTAGCTAATAAGAGTGTAAAGCAGTAATAGTAGCAGCATTAATAATGACAATACTATCATAAAAGGTGCTTTTTGTTATCTCATGTATAGATGACAGAATGTAGTAACTATTTGAGTTTAGGAGTAACAGTCAACAAATTTTCACTCATTTAAGAGGTGAGTAAAGTCACGTCAGCTTATTTTCATAAAGTTATTATTTATGCTACTTGATCGTTCAAATGAACAACAAATCTGTGTAGGCTATCTTAACTGCCATCTAATGTATGTACGGACGTTACAACACTAATAAAACAACGCAATCGTATTCATTTACTTAAGAAAGTCACAGCTAGCCATTAATTATGTAGACTGTATAGCAATAGACTACTGACAGAAGTCGGTTTCATTTAAGGAGTGTATTACTGATGTTGAGTAGCAGCTGGCTGTAGAATCTGGGACGCACGTATTGTCCTGTAAGGCATTCGTCGGCTGGATGTGCTCACTTCTAGATGAATGACTTTGTTCCCACTTAGACTCCAACTCAGCACCTATCGTTTCAAACATAAGAGTTTTATCCACCAGGCTACCGCAACTACTCCTTGCGCCAACATGCGTGTATTGATGTTTCCAGTGTAGAAGTGGACTTTTAGGAAGGTTCATGGAAAAAAAACACCTCACTCATCGTCTTGTTTTGTAAATTTATATTATCAGTGCGGTTGTTAATGAGGAGCTTAATTCTTTTTCTATACATTCTGATAAATTTTAACGTTTTAGCGCCCTCAGCTTTTAAATACGGTAATCAAAACTTTCCTAACATATACTGTGTAGTATGAGTTCGTTAGTTCATGCAAAACATGCACTCCTTCAGATATGATTTGAGCAAGATGTGGAAGTTGCTAAATCTTGGCAAATTTAATTTATTAAGTTTCAGTGTATAATCATCATAAGAGAAAGATTAGAACCAATATTTCCTGTTAGGGGTATGAACTTTCGGTAATGTGCTAAGTTAGTGTTCAGCATACTAATGTTCGTTACCGTTATCACAAACTCATAAAAGCATCAAGGAAACTCACTGACGCATTTTAACGATGATCCAACATTTCCAGTCTATTAATTATATCTTGTATTTTTGTTAGCTTTCTCATGAAATTTCCACCCTCACATCTTATCCAGAAATACAGATTTTTATGTTTATATCCATCTCCATGTATGCTCACTTACCACTTACTATTGTAGAGCTGGCTAAGTTCAGCACTGAAATTGGCCTTTGAAGATTGTCAGACTAAAACTGGTGAGAGGTAAACAAAGAACAAATCTAACCTCCCTTTATGAGTCTCTTCCATTTTCGAACTATCGAAATTCTTTTAAAAGGAACTATAATTTTAAGACGATCAACAACTCAACTGAGTTTAAGGAGCATACAATTATTGTATGGACATTCTAAGTGGTACTGAAGATGGTTGGATAAGCTTGTTGATTATTATTCATTCAGATATGAATGTCAAAAACAAGTTCCAGTTTTGGAAATTGAAGCTATCGGATTAGTCACAAAACCAGAAAGTTTTGAAGAAATAGATGAAGTCAAGTATTGAAGGACAATACAGTTTATAAATGGGTGCTTGAAGTTTATCAAACTGGTTTGAAAAGTTTCTACTGTAAGTGAATGATTCGGTCAGTAAATTTACTTTTCATATTGAGGCTTACAAGGATTTGACCTTTCGTGGGAGAAACATACTGATGACTTTCATCGCCTCTTAAATAGGTTAACGACTGACAGTCCCTTATAACAAACACAATACTTAATATTTAAATTGCCGAAAAAGCGGCTATTATATAAATGAGATAGACATGACATTTAGTGTTCAACTTATAACTCTGTTTGCCTATTCAGTATTCTCCTAAGTGACATTTTTAGAACCTAACTTAGTCATAATTTTCAGATTGTTGGAGTGGACCCTGTCGGTTCTATTTTAGCTGACCCAAGTTGTAAAGAGACGACTCCATATGATGTAGAAGGCATTGGTTATGACTTCATTCCTACTGTTTGTGATCGAAGTGGAGTTGATAAGTGGTGCAAAACAGCGGATCACCAGTCCTTCGAAATGGCCAGACGACTCATACGCAAGGAAGGTCTGCCGTGTGGTATGTTATTCTGTGTTATGTGAACTATTTTTTCTGTTTGATTTGTCTTGACTTATATACACACATAGGTAAAGTTTGATGTAATGTGAGTTCAGTTACAGGAAAAGCTGTTTGGGCTGATTTCATTCTATTAGGTTCTATAATTTATCATCAAAATGCATCCATCCTTCTTATGTACATTCTGAGTTAGTTATTTTTACATGCAAAAAATTATTTACCGTGCAGTGTGTATATTGTTTCGGTCAGTATTACTACCTGAAAGTAGGGATTCCCCTTCGTCAAAAAACCTGTTATTTTCAGTAGTCCTTTATTACATTCCATACCATCAATCGCATCATTTCTAAAACTATAGTCTTATTTAGTGATTTTATAATACTCTTGTTGTGTAGTTTCATAAGATTTCCTGTATTTCCGTTCTTTAACCAACAAATTTTAATAGCCAACAGAGGCTGAATAATACATCTAATATTAGAGAGACTAAGTAGACCGGTATATTAGTTTTGCGAAGATATATTTTGATATGTTTGTCTATACGGTTCTTACAAAACGACTGACTGACGAAATCAACTTTGAACCTCAAGGTATGCGGTGACTCGGCATGCGCAGTACATGTCCGAGCTATCTCAGTCGACTAAGGTTCACAACCACATCAATCGACTTTCCTATCTTGCCTAGTACTCTTCACTTGGCCGCAACATCGCTCATACGGTGATTCCATCACACATAAGCAATTCTACGAAGATATCTGTGATCAAAGCTTCCTAATCGCTTTAAGTTCCCTACTTTTAACGGCCATATCTTATAGCCGTATGACAACACAAAACGGACAGCAGAAAATATATTCGTCCTTTGATAGATAGATGTCTCACCAGTCGGCGACAAAGAAAATGCGAGTTGGCAAATGTAAAACAGCCCTTCCCCATCAGGTCTGAGATTTCGAGAGCAATCAGCTCGTTTGGACAGATGCGACCAGCCAAGCGAGTGAGATGGTTGACATATTCCACCCTTTCACTCCTTATTATTAAAATGAGAGTACTTGCAACATACCAGTCCTGGAGCATCACCTTTAAGCTGACAAGTGTGAAACTCGTGTTAATCATAAATTTCTGCTCAATGCACTTAAAAGACCCTGCAATTCGTCAGCGTCTTTATCTAGCAGGACAATATCTTCTGCATACTCCAAGTCAAGAAGAGGACCTTTAGGGAGTAAATGAATCCTTTTAAAGTCACGTCTATCTAATGTAATATCCACTAGTACGTCACAAAAGGAAATATACGTTGGCTCTCTTCTTGTTCCTATACTTTTGTTATTCCTCCTATGGTTGGATTGTGAACACATATTTCTGGTACTCTCCGAATATGTTTAAAAACCACCAATATCTGAATTGCGTAACTTCACAAGATTATGAGCTGTCTTACCAACAACCTTTTTCTCAATATTGCGGTCAATGTAGGCTACCAACCTGATTGAACTGAATGATAATCTCTGGAACTATTTTAGATCTAGAAGTCACATCTAAGGGGATATTTAGCATCTTCAGATATTTGAATTTATAACAGTAGCAAGGTAAATCTCAAAAAAGTTAATTATTTTCATTTCGGTCCTTTATTAGAATGGGAGGTTGCAATAATTTGTAAACTCCTTTTTATCATACAACATTGGCCGTGTGTAATTACATTTCAGCTCTCTGAGCATCATTGTTCTCTTAGTCTTTTCTCTTGAAGTTGTTTTCACTCTGAAACCTCCTATCTACTTGTCTACATCATTTTTCTTCTGTTTTACCTGTTTAATAATTTCTATTTTATAATCTATGGATTGGCAGCAACTTAAGTTCTAATTTGCGACTTCACTTCCTGTATTTTTTTGGCTCACTTATTCACCTTAATTCAAAATTTTCATCAAACCACTTAGCAGGTGGAGAATACTTTTCGTTTATTAGTTCTCTTTATTGTTCTTAAGCCAGGCTATGTAGAGGTAGTTAGAAGTTACACAGTACAATGAATTCATTTTTCTACCTAGATCTTATTAGTATTTTCTTATTGTTGTCAACATTATGCTACTCTTTACGGTAGATCATAAATGGTTATTGCAACATTACAAAAAAAAATGAATTCACTAAGTTTCATAAATAAACTACAACCATGATTAAAACTCATTTGCATTATCAGAAGTACATCTTGTCAGTGGGATGGATAAATAAATGTTTTTCTTCTTCGTAGAAATTCTCTCTCGGAAATGTCATTCTGATATTGTATATTAGGATTCAGTCGTCAAGGCGCCTTCGACCTAGGTTTCGTGCTTCTTGGCACTCATCAGCAAGGTGTATCTGGAACCATGCAGAAATTGATGTTCCCTCGGAGATCTAAACCTGCGACACTCATTGCTGGGGTCATAAACTTCACCATTTTTTTATTAAAAGTTTATCTACACTCTTAGCTGAGGAGAACTTAAAATTAAGGCAGAACGAAAAGTAATTCAGTCAACCCTCACTAGCAATCAGTTAACTCACCGTTACAGTCAGTGTTATATGAAATATAGAAGGAATTGATTATGGAAACAATTTAATTAGACCGTTAGATTTGGTGACAACGTAGCAAATAAAGTAATATAGGTTAGTGCAATAGGAAATAATAAATGATCAGTAGCAGAATGTGGAGATATCAATCTATTTATTCACAAATAACTGTTCTGAGTCAGATCTACCACCACATAAACTTACTTTCTCGTGAGTCACATTGACTAAGTTACTCCTAATGTGTATTCAGCAGACCAACTTCCGAAAGCTCCTCAGCATATTGCAGTGTCATGGCTCAGTTGTCTGTACTATTGCCTTCTGTGTAGTAGTTTTTCACCGAAGTCTGTATGGTTTTAGTATTTACAGCAGTTTTATCCCTTTCCTATATTTGAGCCTAAAATTTAAAGTAAACCCCAAGATTTAATTCTTTTTCATTTAGTTCAATCTGTCTTCGGCTAATTCACCCACATAGGTTTGAGTCGTGGTTCTGTGACCTTGGTTTCCGATTCGTTGTATTGAAGATTGAAACCCTGCTTCAATTAATACAAACTGAACAAATAAGATGCCTCTTTCATTTTCATGCAACATATAGTTCACAGCTTGCAATCAGTAGCATGTGAACTCGGATATGGTTAGGGAATTAGATTCTTTACTAGTATTACCGCTGAGTACCTTGAGTTTTATTCAACGGTATTTTTCAGTAAATAATTCAATAAAAACCAATGAATTCATACGAAATTTGCCTGTATATATATCTTTCAACCATTTTTGATCAAGGTGGTAGTTGTGGTGCTGCTGTACTTGGCGCTATCAAGGCTATCAAAGAACTAGGCCTTGGAAAAGGTAGTCGGGTCGTAGTTATATTACCTGACAGTGTCCGCAATTACATGTAAGATGCACTGAGTATCCATTTATAACATTTTAAATAGTAGATAGGCTTATTTAGTTTGTTAAACAGTGGTGGAAATAATTGTACTATTTAGGTACTAAGTGTTTAAACGATAATAACTTATGACAGATTTTTGATTCGTTTCAATCCAGGTCCCTCCCCCTTCTCACCGCTGCTATTTATTTTAAGCAATAGATGATTTAAAAAAATAAAATGTGAACGAACTGATATGCAGAAATTGCGGATTAATGCTGCAGCCATTATTGGTGATCTAATTCTATGTAGCGTGGTCATTATCATACTACACGTTGGTTGTGGAATGCTGACAGGCTAAGGACAATAAATAGCAGAGAACTGTTTTACAATATATCGGTGGGCACTCCTTAGAGAAACACAGATATAATAGAGTTTTGAATCTTCTCATGTCATTTCAAATCACTTCATTCACTAGTAGCACGGCTGTGAGGAAGTTGACATGAGGGAAGACTAAAAATGAGAATAACAGTGCGATCAACAACTATCAAAAGTTATCAGACAGAGAGAAGATGAAGGGAACAGAGAAATACGGCAATAAATTGTCTTGAATTTATGGATATATAGAATTAAACTTCCTCTGCGCTAAGTGCAATACCTGAATATATTGCCTAAAGTTTCCTACAACCGTTTTAACTCGCTTTGAGGACCCAAACAAAGAAGCCTACATGGTTGACATCACCAGACATAGACTTCATGGGTTCCTATCATGCCTTTGGTTTGGCCATTGTTAACCTTTATTATCTAGTTATACTGCTGGAAAACCTCACCTAGTTGACTAGCTCACTAGTTACTAGCCGGTCCTAAGCCCGGGTAAAGAGGGAAGGTTGGCCATAGGGCTAGCAACCCTACTCCGTAAAAAAAATCCAATCGCTAAAAAAACTTCAAAGCACAAAGAAAATATAAAACATAAAAATAAACTTATTCCTGGCTATAATCGGAGAAACGAGATGATGCCAGTTGGCGGAAACCTTCAGGAAGTCAGTCGATCGATGTGTTTTATCTCTCTCGATGAAAGCAAAAGCAAACAAAGGGAAATGGAATGTCCGCACAATCTTCGAAGCTGGCTGGTAAGGCTGTCCAGAATGCAAAAGAGATGAGAAGGTGTAGCATAGAAGTGTTAGCAGTCTGTGAAAGCAGATGGAATGGAAGTTGACTCTGCAAACTGTCAACTGCTATGATATTGTCACCCAGGCGACAACCACGAGCACATTGAGTTGCTCCCCAAGAGTGTCAAAAGCTCTGTCTCATAAAGTGGGAACCAATCTCCTCCTCCAGCATCCGGATCATGACAGCAAGATGCAAACCAAAAGGAACGAAAGTAACAATCATACAATGCTACGCTATGCACCTACAAATAATGGAGATAGGGATAAGAAGGAGGAATTCTACAGGACAAGACTCCAGTTGGCGACATCAAAATTCTAATGGGTGACATGAATGCCAAACTGGGAGCAGATAACACAGGAAGACAACTGATCATGGGTCGGAGGCACTCCGTGAATTGATGAACGAGAATGGATAACTGTTTACAGACTTCTGGGCACTCGACGATTTGGTGATTTTAGGCAGTGTGTACAAACACAAGGATATTCACAAAGCGAGCGACATGGATTTGATTTCACCAGACACCAGGACACACTCAAAATCAGATCGACTTCATCTCAATCTGAAGAAAGTGGAGATGTAGCTTACTGGACACAAGATCATGAAGATTTGTATTTCGCTGATGATTTGTGTCTAGTAGTGCACAAACTCTTAGATCTACAAGCAAAAACCAACAAGTTGGCAGAAGGGGCAAGGCAGCGAAAACGGGAGATACCCAACCAACAACAACAAGCACCGATAACCATTAACGGGCGAAGCCTCAAGGAAGTTGTCTCTTTCACCTACCAAGGCAGGACGGCATAGTTTCAACTGCAGGCGGTGGCACAGATGAGGACGTCAGAGCGAGGATCGGAAAGACAGCAAGACACACCTTCATTAATCTGAAATCAGTGTGATCTACTGCACTGCACTCAGCGTAAAGAAGAAGATCCGAATTTTTAACACTAATGTCAGTCAAGTCAGTGCTTGTCGCGTTACGAAAAGCATTTCCAACAAACTACAGACATCCATCAACAGCCGCCACCTACGCTTACTCGATACTGAAGATCAGATGGCCAGAAAGAATAAGGAGCAAGGAACTCTGGCATGGCGGCGAACCAACCAACAAATATGCAGAAGAAAGTGGAGATGGATTGGACATACACTGAGAAAGCCATTCGGGGACATCACGCGTCAGGCTCTGGAGTGGAATCCAAAGGGGGAATGACGAGTTCGGTGTTCGAACTGAGGGTGACATGGAGGAGATCGTATGAGGAGGAAATGAAAGATTATGGGTTTTCGTGGAGCCAGGTTCAAAAGACTGCAGAGAACAGAGTGCAATAGAGATGTGCTACTGAAGCCCTATGTTCCACTAGGAACCCAAGGGATAAATAATAATAATAATACTGCTGGAAAAAATGATAATAGATAAACTTTATCAAGGCATATTTCACATATGTTTCAACAACCTTAGGTGATAAAGGTTGTGAATCTTATTTATCGAGTCGTCTTAGTGGTAACCTACGTCTAATTTCCACCTTACTGAAGTAGTAATAATAACACTTAGAAGAGACGTGAAAACGTACTTGAAACACCGATTAGATGCATAAGGTTTCCATGTGAGTCGCTGATTTAAGTTAACACCAGTCTCAGATTTGATTTGCAGTAAAATAATCTTATATTCACCTCCATTAGCATTTGATAGTGATTTCATAATCGGGGTTGGCTTGATACTAAAACTTCCAATTTTATCTGTACACAACATCTACAGCTATCAAAATAGGCATGAAGTATACTGAAACAAAAAATATACGTAAACCCTTATAAGCCTGTTAATCGCTTGCAAATCTCACACAGATTTCTTTAAATTGTTCATCTACTAACAAAAATTGAATGTATGAGGACTGTTAGCCTCGGGTTCGTAATCACCATCTTTTCAGATAGCATTGTACATTGCAGCTACAGTTATATATGATCATCAACGTTTGATTTTGCCGTGTGAGTGTATGTAATCGACGGGGAGTTTTATAACCTTCAGCTAACCTCTATTTTAACAACGGGTGATAAAGGTATTGTATAGCAAAGACTGCTTTGTAATTACATCTAAGGTTTTTTGTATTTCATGCAACTCTGGTAGACTTTGGCGAATAGCCTTCAAGTTCTTAGCCTTAACAAGATACCATCTATCTCCTTTACAGTAGAAGTCTCCATTTCAGAAGTTATTCAACTGAGACTGATGAAGTTTCCGCAAGATTCCATCTTGTGTGTAACCAGTGCAAATATTTTATTGTAAAGAATTTCAGTAGGCAAATATACACTTATTTGACGTAATAAATAACCACTAATTACATCAACGGTGCATCAGTCATTAAGGAGATTAACTAACTGGCAATATCCAGTTTTAGTCTGTGGTTCAAGACTATATTTCACAACTCAAGTCTATTGCTACCTATATGATTTTCTAATGTAGAACACTTTAAAATCTCTTTGAACATGGATTATTGATGCACATTTTGCTAATTTGTTATTTTATTATATTAGGACTAAATTTTTATCAAATGAATGGATGTACAGCCGAGGATATATGGACCTTCCTCTTGGTGATCCGTTTCGAAATAAGTTAATATACATGTGTTTCTTTTGAAAATAAAATTCGTTTTTAATTGAATTCTTATGTGAAATTTTTTTTAGCAAGCTCAAACTATGATTTCATTTGGTTAATTACTATGCAGATACTTGATGAAGATATCACTTATTGCTATTTTATCTACTTTAAGTCAATATTCGTCTATTTCAAAAAAACTATACTGCTAGTTGAGATAATGTTTCCATTCTACTTATAGAGATATCATGATATGCTTTATACTTTTGAGAAACATTTGATTCAAATTTTATTGCTGTGTACAACTTTATGATTTATTCCGTGTGAAGATTACTGCAACGACAAATACTCGTAGTCCGGTACACTAGCTAGGTCTGTTAACTGTTATGATAGGATCTGAATGCTTATTGATACTAGCCATCTCTGATACAATTTCCACATCCAAGAAAGCTGATCACCGCATGAACTGTCCCCCCCTCCAAGTTAGTACAGTTGGAAATGCAGAAATTGTTGTCTCTATATATTTATCTGTCCAATCAGTTTACCCAGTTTGAACTTTATTTTTGATGTAGAAAGTTTATTTTAAAGGTTAAAACTGATATCATTTACTAAAGTGTCATTTTTGCTGACACCGATGTGCCTTAAGAATAATGGGCAGTCACTATCCTATAATTTGGTCTTTCTTTTTATATAAAGCTGGATTAATAGCGAACTGGACGAACTAATTAATGGTCTGCCGAAAACAGTAAGAATATCTGGACAGCAAACTATAAAGCAATCAGCTGATGTAATGAAGTTTGAAAATGTACGGGCGCTGCTGGTACTAACAGAAAATAAGGGGAAAAGGTAAAGGTACACTGTGATTATAATTCTTTTATGATATCTATATGGATGGTAGAGTTACTTATGATACCAAAATGTTTGAGTTATTTATGTAGGTTTCGTATCCGTTGAGATAGATGATGTAGTTGCGAAGCTTGTATTATCATGTAATGGAATATCCATACTGTGATTTTAAAAAGCCAATGGGCCTATCTTTTTTCGCCACAAATACAGTGTCAGTGTGTTGTGAAAAAATTTGATGTGGTCGCTTTTTGTTTTGATCGTGGTTATAGACCTTCTTTTCGACCATACTGTTACTTGATAATTGACGTAAGTTTGCATTCTCCTTGTGTTTGATTGATAAACCATTTCTATAAAATCTGTCTGTTAGTCACTAAGTGATCTGTCAACCAAGATTTGACTAATTGTTGTCTGTATAACCGTTTGATTTACTTGAAAGTCAACTAGTTTTTAACTTACAGCTGATCATATTCATTATGATTATGTGTCTTATGACATGAGTATTAGTTTTAGATTGACTACAAAAGCACATGTTAGGCCTCTATGTTTTCTTGATAGCAGTACAGAGTGATAGCAGTAAATTATCCTGAACTTGATTTCTCTGTATTATCCAAGTTCACACTACTTACAGAACAAAACGTTCGGTCATTTACCTTCGCCACTGTCAATTAGCATATGGAGTGAGCACCACTTCAAAGAAATAAAACAACGTTACTGTACTATTTTTTTTAAATCTGGGAGACTGTTACAAAATATTGTCACTAGGGAGTTTTGATGCTTCTTTTCCCAGCATCTCTTATGAACTGCAGGATAAATGTGATAAAATCAATGACTATAAGAAAATTCCCAGTCATCACACTCCATCACACCAGGAATTATTGTCGCCGTTCAACAAAGCTTTTTATCCATCTTATTAGTTCCCATAGAATGTCTCAGCTGAAAGTTATGTTTGATAAGTATTGATTAATCGGATGTGTACTCAATGGAACACTAGTATTCAATAAGAGGACTGCAACTTATTGAAATACTGTTTTAACGGACATACTAAGGTTGTTTCAGTTTCTTGTTAGAAAATTGAAATTTATCGCACAGCTGATAATTTGAGGTAGGAGTCATTCACCGAAATCAGAGATGTGCACCATATCTGTCAACAACCTGCTACTGAAAATAGTTTGCAACTATAATACTTTCATGAAAAGTTTGCGCAAGAAAACTAACACACACAGCCTCTAATCGTACGGTACTTTTCACCAATTAAAGTAATAATGTAGTTGAATTAGGTTTATGGAGATTGATTGATTTCAAGGTAGTAGTATTCTTTATGGGCTGACTTCAGTTGAACATTAACTGAAGACCTGGGAGCAATGGACAACTGCTTCACTAAACACTATGACTTTTCTGGAGCGCACAATTAACAGACCACCAGGGATTTGACCCAGAACCGTTAAGTCTCGCGGCGAACACGTTACAACTCAGTCTCTGCACCATAAACTAATAGTACACATTTCCTTACTTTCAATACACTATATGACACGACTATCATCCGTGCATAATAACCTCAATACTAATGACGTTAAGAAATCTTGGAAATCTTAACTTTAGCACATGTTTTGTTTAAAAATAAATATTGTATCTTCTGTTACTACAGAGGTTCAGTACTTGGTGTATTTGATTCTGGTGTTTTGAGATTGCTGTTGAATGGCTGCGTTACACCTTTGGATCCTGTCATCTCAGGAGTTAATAAAAACTTTCGACAGGTGATTCTAACTTACATTTGTTTATGTTTTATCTTGTCTAATTTTTTATCAGTGTTATTAGCGTAAAACCTGGGCACTGTGGTAGAATTAATTCCATATTAGATTTGTTTATTTGATTTATAACACAAACTGATACAGTACTATTTACTTGATGATGTTTGGAGCATAAATCATTGATCATAATCATATCAATATAGTCACACTACTTTTGACATTTTCTTTTTATAGTCTTGTCACCTCCTATTCTTTGTTTCTATTGATAGTAACGTTTTCCATATCTCTGGTATAGGTGTTGCGTCATTTCTATTACATGTGTTGAGTGTTGATTTAATAAACAAAGATTCAGTAATCAATCTATTCACCTGATTCTACTGTTGGACTTAAGTACAGTGGTTTTATCCCACCCTATTGTGTTGTTGTGTGTCATGCATGCATTGCAGTAGCCAAGTGTTTTTCTAGATCATTGATCTTATTCGGGTCTGTCATCCTGTATTTAGCTAAATTCCTATGTTCGGCTATTCTAATTGACTCCGACTGGCTAGTTTGACCTACGTTCTTGACCTCGCAGTCACTACATGGGTTTTGATAGATTGCATTATTTTACTTAATTGCTTCTATCGGATCTTTAAGCTAGCCAACAAAGCTTATCTCTGAGTGGATTTGTAGGTTTAAATGTCACCCTAATTCCAGCTTTGTTGAGGACTCTTAGTAAAGTTTCTGATATACCTTCCCTATAGGGCAACACAATGAAGTTTGTAACCTCCCTTCTGTTCGTGTTGTCGTTATTATTCGTACTCATAATGCTGTTATTATTTCGTTTTTTGCGTGTTCGTACGAATCTCTGAGTAAATTATACAGGATAATTATTAAGTATTAGTGATTCTTTTACGTGCTTCAGTTCCTTACACTAGCTAGTCAGTTTTCTAGTTCTATCATTTAGACATTTGACTAAACCTGCTTTAGCTGACATTGAATGGGATGACTTCAAGTTCAGATACCTGTTGGAAAGTGTCGGTTTTCTGTAAACAATAATATCCAAACTACCGTGTTTCCTTAGTTTTATCCTGCAATCTAACATAGATAATTCTTCTTGTTCATTTTTTACCTCGTAAGTGAGTTGGATGGCGCTCACTACTGAGCTTATATGTGTGAAGAAATTTTCAATATGTTCCGATTTCAACAAAGTAAATGTGTCACCACATATTGGTGCAGGATTAAATGTTTGTAAGGCTGTGTTTTAGCAACTATCCATAAATATATGTTCTACGATTCGGGATGTTCGCGATCTCATTGTTACTCCTTCGTCATCTATTAAATGCCTTTTAAATTTGTTTTTAAAAATACGTATCACAGTGAAAACAGTTTTGTTTACAATTGTCACAGTTCATTCACAGGATTTGATTAATACATTAAAATTCACAGAATATGTGATTGTATGAAGCCGTATATGTTAATATTCACTTCGACTGGATGAAATAGCATCCAAATGAAAACAGAAGTTAGTATGCAGATTATTTTGTGGATATGTCTTTGATGACAGTTTGTTTATTTGATGTTTAACTATAAAATAGCATTATGTATTTATGCAATGAATAGTGTATTTTTCACTGTTCGACATGTGTGATATGTAAGCCGATATAGGATTATGCTCAACCACAGTGAACCAGCTCTATTCTCGTGTTACTGATTATGTTAATTCACTATAAATTATTTACATGCTTAAATCTGTGAAGATACCAGCTATAATTAGTCCATGTAAGCATGCACTTGACTCTTCGCTAGTACAAGTAAAATATTATTGTTCTAATAGTAATAATAACAATAATAATAATAGAAATTAACATTCTTAAATATTTTGATCATTATGAAAATGAAACAAAAGGTCAAGCTTTATGTTCATATTTACCACCGAATAATAGTGCAATTCAGAATACTAGTTCTATTCTATGTAAGACGCTCTGGCTTCCTATATTACTGGGATGAATTAACACGATATGAAAGTAATCTCACCGGGAATTCGAACTTACTTTGTTCTTACCCCCAAAGAAGCTCGCTGTGATGAACTAAGTCTGTCTGATCCCCTGATACGATTTGACCAATTAAACAAGTTGATGGGATTGAATTGCTGATTAGAGTGATTACTTGCTTATTGGAGATGAGTTCTGGCATGTTATGAAAGTTCTGTTTTCAGATAAGCTATGGTGATTGGTCCATCTATCTCTTTCGCCCACTAAGAGAGGAATCGAAATTAATTAGGATAGACTTCTTACTTTCTGAATGCATTATTTCACTTCTTAACTGCCTTTAATTAATTACATGACTAACTATGAGGAACGAAGTGGCTAGACATACTGATCAACCCTATTGGATGAGTTGCCACTAGGTTCCCAACACTAATGGAAAGGTTTCGACTAACTTTCGTAACACGGTTGCGATATTTTATTGCTTATAAGCGGTAGAATTAACCGCAGAGCAGATGTTTATGTCTTATTGTATGATTTTTAAGTTGTGTCACTAAAAGTGAACGTATTCACAAGTGCTTCGATAATTTGATCCTCACAATCTCAGTAACACCATTAACCTGTGTTCGAACAGTTACACAGAGTACTCGATGGAGGGGATAGATTAGTTAGTAAGATCATGAATGTTCATTGACTAAAAATATCGTGACAAGTTGAATCATAGTAAATCTTAGCGTACCACATTGAATGAAGTGAAATAAAATTGAAAGAAAGCTATGAGTACACAGATAAAGATGTGACGTAAATGAATGAAGTCTCTAGCTGGTGCTCTAAGTCATACAGATTTGTTTCGGCTTCCTGGATGGAATCCGTGAGATAATGAAATCGCCAGCTTGACGCGATAGGCAGTTTTTTAGTAATAGTCTCAACAGTACGGAGGCAAGTAAACAACATCTCCATCTTGATTCCGAAAATCGTGTTATTATGTTTCTTATTTTCCATATGAACTTTTCTTTGCTTTTCTTTGCTTTTTCTGAGGTTGATGATGTCACTATTTTCAGTTTTTGGTCTTTCTTCTGACTAACATTTTCCCCAATGTGCTGTCAAATATAACAGTTTGAACTGATACCCAGTTATTCTAGGTTCTCTTTTAGTTTATGACTACATAGAGTCGAGTAACGAAACCTTTTTGTTTGTTGCTGATGCCATTGCTTTGGTGTTATCAGTTTTTATTTAACAGATGGACGGTTTTGAAATGGAAAATATTTGTAGCTCAGGTGGATTATCTTGGTTATTTTGTGTTCTCTAAGCTGGCTGGTTTATTTGTGATTCTTTCATTGTCTTTCTAGACAATGTCGTCAGCAATAACAATATTGAAGTTATTGCCGATGATATTGTCTAGAAAAACAATGAAAACTTCACAATTAAACCACCTGGCTTAGAGAACACAACCAAGATACATAGTTTTTTGTTAGCAACGCTTAAATAGCATAGATGAAAACAGCATTCATTTAAAGGGAAGAATTTGAGCGAATACGTATTTTTATTCAGATTTCTTCGGACCCTTCTTTCAATACAATATTTCATGCTTATAAGCAAACACATGTAGATGGAATTTAATTGTGAATTCCGTAGTTTTTATGTACCATCTCTTGAGGCATATGATAAAATTTTTCACATCCGGTTTGAAGTTCGCACACTAGTAGATCTTATGGTCTTTCAACTTATTTTTCTGAAAACTCACACTTCAGGTTGAGGAGAAATATGGCCTTGATCGCGTCTCTCGTGAACTAATGGTTGAACCATACGTTATTTTGTGGAAATCGGAAGGTAATTTTTAAAGTTTAGATAATTTATCAGTGTGTAAAGTTATATTACTATCCACTAAATTAAAACATTAAAATGCAGTTTATCACAAATTATTTGAGAAAAGCGTAATTTGAACAACTAGTATCATAAGTTCTTAAATTCAACATCAAAGTGAAGTTGGCAAATATCACGAATCTTTTGACTCTTAACGAAAGGTTCATCCAAGGAATAATTTGAACTCCACTTAGTAGGTAGTAATAAAGAAGCAGTTCATTAGCTGTATACAAGTTTGGCAACGAGGCTATGAGGGTTAATAGAATTTATTTAACTGCTTACCTAGACCTGTAGTATTTGGTGGAAGCTGCAAACACTTATTATGGGGATTAATGTTCGACCACTCAAACCAACGATTCTCAGCTCTACAATTATTGATGAAATTTCCTAGCATACAGATTCACAATCTAAAGGGTTACGTTTTGCTAAAAGCTTGTCTTTTAGACTGATATATCACCTGATGTTTATTGACTAATAACAATCAGGTAGTAAGTTTTGCTATCAAATGAAAACCCAGATTATTATATTCAATTTTTTTGACCAAGTTGGTAACCACCAAGTGGGATTGAATAGGGAATAGGTTAAAGGAAGTACTTTGTAGGTACTTGAAATAAAACAACTAACAGAGTGGTTTAATTAACAGTGGGTTTTATTGGTTATAAAATAGCTCGTGAGATGCGGTGTTCATCTCTTATTTTTTGTTTGTTTCTAAATATCAAACTCATAACCGGTCAGATTTAGTTTCTGATTGAGTGGGAGTATTCAATACTGCTGCGTTTTTGTGCAAAAAATAATGCATGAAATTTATGTTCAACAGTAATCTGCGTCTGTGATGCAATGAATTGATCCGTCTGCATTATTTGAGATGAAATGACTGAACTATTGATGAATCCTATTTGCATACTATCACCTGGGTAACATTCGATTCTTGTTCCATAGCACAAAAGCTAATGAATTCATGCTACCAAGAGAGCATTTCATCCTGTTAATGTTTATCATTGGCATTAAAATTTCTTGATTTTTGTAAACTCATGCATTCTGGTCATCTTTACCTTTCGTAAACAGATCCTCATTTGGTGTGTCGTGAAGATTTTCTCTATTGGTCTCTCTCTCGACGATAAAGAAACTGGTTGTATCTTTTTTCAATATTTCTCCCATGTTTTAGTAATGAATAACATTGGAGACGCTCTTGTCTTTTTCTGATAATATTCTATAGACCTGAACAACTAAATGTAATTATTTTATCTATAGTGTGATAAATGTAATCATTATTGGAATAAGAAACAGTAATATTTTAGCTTTGGTCACTTACATTCATTTCTCTTTTTTAAGTCTCCAGTGGTGAGTAATGTCCACTTCACTCTCACTTTTGCATATAAAGTTGTTCAGGAACATTTTATGAGAGATAGATGATAACTTCTGTTCACTTTCACAACGTTGTGATTGAGAAGTTTCCACTTTCATTTCTATGTAGTACAGTAATACGAATTATCTAATGCAATATATGCATGACACACATTTTCTGTGGAATGGTTTGCATGGACTGAATTTCTCTTAGGGAACCTATGTTAACGTGTTTAATAGTAAACATCGGCAATTACTAGATCTGAAGCCTTTTTTACCGCTTACTATTTCGGAATAAACTCAGTAATCAGCATTTGGAAGATTGTGAAATTGTAAATGCAGAGCAAGGAAATCAAACAAAGATAAAACTGATCATATTCGCTTGTAATGACGAAGTAAAAAGTCATCGCAAGGTTATGGCTACATTAGAATGACAAACTGGACACATTTCCTTTGAATATAAGCCTTAACCTTGGAGTGACAAATTTTCGTTTTCTCTATGATGCCTAAATTATATGTTCGTAATCTTTTTCGATTCGTACATCTTACTCATGAGATGACTAAGAAAGATATTGATATTAAGGGGTGACCAGAGTCAACCAGATGTTCAGTATTAGAGCAGCTGATCAGATTACAGTCTTCGTTATACAACTAAGTAGGATTGTGCTCGGAGATGTTTTTGAATAAAGTGGAGTCCTTGTGTTCTATATATCTAACTCCACAGAAGCTTATCAACTAACAGACATACTTCAAAGTGAAATAGACTTCTGAATAGTATGAGAAGCTTGCAAGCCCTCATTTTGGTTTTAAATCAGAGTAATCTAAACACCAGATTACCATTTAGCTCGTTTGACGTATAGTTGAGCACTATATTTCGTTAGTTTATAACACTTTTGTCCAAGAGATTGCAAATTGCGACCTTGGCTGAATAGTTTTCGACGTATACCCAAATAACATAACAGCTGGGCAGTCGAGAAAACTGCCAAGCGCTGAAAAAGTTAGGTAATCTTCAAATTGATCATCAGCCACACAAAGCTAGTCAGAAGCGGTGATGTAAAAAACGATTAGTCTGACATCGTTAAGTGAAGTCATTTCACAATAACAAAATGCTTACAAAAATAGCCGCAAAATAATACCAGTGAAATAAATACCCATATAATATCTCAAACTGAGAAGAATGTTTCACGACAGTAAGGCTATAAGCTTGCAGTATTTGAGTATGTTTACATCTTTTCAGTAATTATAATGCTTAACAGACTTAGCTTTATAGTTGAACACGACTAGCCAATATGTATGATCAATTTACTTTGCCGGGATGCCAAATTTAGTTCATATAAAGTTTGCGTACACTTCAGTCATAACAGGCCCTCTAATATAATAGTAAAATTTAGACACTTTAGAGCAATATAACTTTACATTTTATTAGTACATTAGATATAACACGGTGATACAGGAAATAATATGGAATCATAACATTCTCATTCGCATTCTACGCTCTACGCTACTGAGAATATTACAGTCTTGTTGATTATTGTTATATCTTCGTCGCCAACGGTTATATGTTCCGAACAAATATAGTGCACATGCTTAGCTGACAGCTAACTTAGTACGCAAGAGCCACGACTGCAGCCCCAGGGAGAATAGAGAAAACACCAAAGCTGGATGATGGGAGAGTTTGTCTCTCTGAAAATATAATAATAAATCCCAAAACACGTAAATATGTACACACATGAGAAATGACCTTGTTCTCAATTTGAGACATTTGCATAGTAAGAGTAAAGATTAACCAATCAGCGAATCACATTACAATTGTGGCAGAAAATAAACTACTAGTCTTACCTTAAAAAATGGTGTGAGAATTCCCGGTTAAAAGTGTTCAAATCTATAGCAATGTTTTATGCAAAGCTAGGGCCTCACAACAAAAACTTCCTAAAATATTTTAACTATAAAATAAAATTGATTTGTTGTGACTATTCTATGGGAGTAGAAATGGACTGACTCAAATATACTTTGAAACAAGGTAACTGACTCAATAATTTAGGAGGTAATTACTTGACCGTACTCGCAGACAAAGAAAGAAAAGATACTTCCAGCAAAGAGAATTTTTAAATCTAAGACAGCATAACCTGTGATACTGTGACATATCGCTTAAGTAGAACCGTTGAAATGATGTTCAGTGCACTTGAACCGTATCCCAGCTTTTAAAGCTAACCAGTACTTGGACAGTAAATCAGAGGTAAATTACTAATAATAACATTATCGATGTGAAGCTGGTTGCGTAAGTTATACTTAGAAGGTTATATTCATTTGTGACTACGAAAAAATACTGGTATAGTTGAAAAAACGAGTGACTCAATCTATCAAATGCTTTATATTGTTGTTTCTGTTAAACAGTGGACCTCAAAACAAATCTTTATTTCGCGCATAAATGCTGTTTTCTAAACAGTTACCGACCCAAGGTCATGCATTATTTTTCCTGGATAGTCATCCACTCTCAGCAGTCATTTCTTAGCCATGAAGTGTCAGCGTGGACCAACTGATAAACAGTTTTCATGAAATAGCTCAATCATCCATCTATTCTGTGTATTTAAATACATAGATCACATGCTGTGAAGGAATTGTTTGGTAGATGAACTGTACACAGATCATTATACAGTTTAATGTTACAATGTCTTGACACTGATCCATATTGATTGATATGACGATGCTGTCAGCAAGATGCTTTATTCGTCAATGTTATATTGTGTCATACGATGGTGCCCACATCCTACTGTTTTATTTGTACGCTGATATTTCATAAACAGCAAGCATTCAGTTTACAGTAGCGAAAATTTGCAGTTAGAATAAGAATGATAACAGTTCAACTCTGTCAGGGCTTTGAATTTTGATCAATACAAGGTGTAAAACTTTGGCACTGTGATAGAATGTAATTCCATCTTAGGTTTGTTTATTTGATGCATAACAAACAATGATACAGTATTATATACTTAATGACTTTTCGAGCATAAATTATTGCACTTAATCATATCGATGTTTGATGTCAGACATTTGATCTTCGGACTTCATAATTTTATCAGCACTTACTTCAAAGAGATGACAGATTTAATTTAAAAGGCATATTTTTTAATCTTTTTACCTACAAATATGTTAGCAGGTTTGTTTTCAGTACTGTATATAAAAACAATGTGAATTTGTTGATTATTCTTTGAACAAGAAGACCATACATTTCGTTAATATAACAGTAAAAATTGGGTACTTTGGTAGACATAAATTCTATTTCACAATGAAACAGTACTATTTACTGGATAACATTTTGGACACAATTTATTGTTCATAGACATATCATATGGTAAGGAGTTACTAAACATGAAAATTTTCAACCTGTTAATGGCTTTGCAGATGTAGTAATCCAAATGTATAGATATTTAATAAGACTTTGAACTATGAGGTATTTTAAAGTGTTGTGAGCGTTTTTAAACTTAATGGAAAATTTAGATTTGTGACTAAGATCTGGATGATTAGTGAAGAACATCTCAGAAGTCTGAAGTTTTAGTGACTACTTCGTATGAGATTATGAAAATAGCCTCTAAAAATTATACGATGGCTTAGAGAATGTGAGGGTTGAATTTTAAGATGCATGTCAGGGATATGGATAAAATATGTGTTGAAAATGCTCCAATTAGCAATTTAACTGGCCAGTACTGTTATCTGATAAGCTTCACCATCTAATTTCTAAATCTATGGTATCAGGATTATGTGAACAGTAGAAAATCATAGCCGAATATAATGAATGAATGCTACTGTCGAGGAATAGAAAATGACAAAAAAAGTTTTATTACTTTGGAAGAAGTAATTTAAGGACTGAACACTTCTGATGTACTAGTAATCAGGTTATACACTTATCATCGACAACTTAACACTCCTTTTGAAAAATTACGAACTGAGAACTGTTCACAAGTTGTACAACAAGATTTTCAACAATAATTTTTTTTAAACCCAAGGAAAGGAAAACAAAGCTGAGTTTTGGTTATCTCAATACTTAAATTGAAAACAGTTAGCTCAGGAAGTACACAGTTCAATCATTTAGTTATAACAGATACAAATAGACGACAGATTTTAGCACAAAGTTGTCCCTTTAAACGCACAATGTTGTGCACTTGGTTACTGAATATTGGACAGAGGTATGTTCTGAACGTCTGTAAGTGGAATACGACATCTTAAAAATATATTGATTAAACCCATTCATTACTATGTTATCGACAACGAAAGCTAATTGATGTTTAGGAGGGCAAATTGTATACCCAATGTAAAGTATCGTTTATGAAAATTATAAATTGGTTGAAGAGTGGCTTTTATGCTCTCTGTACTTATAGTGTACCCAAAACTACAGCTGAAGCTGACAGTTAAACTCAAGTTATATCACAAGCTCTTAGTAATGATACTTGAAAAAGTTTTTGCATTAAATTTTTCTCCTAAGTACCTCGATTTCAAAACTGTAAGTTTCAGGCATGGTTTTGTGTTTACTCTTTACTCAGTTTAGGGCTAATTCCAACTTCGGATGGTGGTTTGTGGATAGTGAACTACCATTAGTAGGAAAACGTCGGAGAACAGGACAGCTTTTTCGTTCTATGTTGTGACTTTTCAGTAGTTCTCAACAACAGTCCTGCAACTGATACTAGTCTATGGTGAAAACCACCTTGTAATTCGAAATTGGTGAGACATAGAAAAGGTTTAATTAAACAGATTAACCACACTTATTACATATTTCTAATTATTTCCCCTGGGAATAGTGAATATTTCAGTGCTAGTTTTCTTTCACAACATCATGTCCCTTCAAGTGTAATTACACTTAAGGTGGGTGATATGGAAGAATAAAGCTTCTGTACTTCAACAAATAATTGTCGTCTCTAGATACTATCATATATCGTGCTGGAAAGTGACTTATTGTTCCTGATAACAGGAACCACACTCATATGTCTGTCATCATTCAAGTCTCTTATAAACACCATTAAACTTTTAACATCGTCTTTTAATTCTTTACATCTCTACATTAGTTACGTAATGTCATCTTTAGGTTTTTTTAGATAACAGATCGTTATAATAATTTGAATTCAAGTGACAGCGTCATTGCTTTCCTGAAACCGTGCACCATAATCCGCATTGAGGTTTTATGTCCATATCCTTCTTCAAATCGGACAACAAGGCCCACTGACTTA